TTTCATCTTTTAATAAACAATTTTCTTCTTTTAAAACAAAAATATCTTCCTTAAGCTTACCGTGTTCAACAGATACAAATTCATGGGTCTTTTTGAGATCCTTGAACTGAATCTTGAGTAACTTATGTTTTTCCAGAATTTCAACTAAGGAATATGATAATTCTAAATGAGTAAGATCAAAGAATACCTATTTGTAGAATACTTATTCTGTTTCAAAATCAACTTCATCTTCTGGAGGGAAAACTTCACTTGATGTTCCAACATGAGCCGTCAGCGCCATGTTAGCATGTTCTTCAGCTGAGTCACAATCATAAGAGTCTGAATCATCCCATGTTTCCATTAGCTCTTTTTTCTTTCCTTTAAGATATTTTTCTTTGGTATGTCCTTTAGAAGCTTAAGATAATCATTATTGTAGTGTCTTGTCTCATTTCACTCATAATAAGTTACTTTGTTGCCACTGGACTTCCTTTGACCAGACGTTGATTCGAAGCGACATCCAGTCCTTCTTGAGCTTCTAAATCTGTTACCTTGAATTATTTTTTAGAGACGGTTAACCCTTCTCAAAAATAGAGATAATTCATCTTCTTCATCATCAATATCTAATTCTGAATCCTCTATCTCTTATGCTTGAAGAGCTTTGGACTTCTCAGATTTCTTGATGGCCTTGAGCGCAATAGATTTTGTCTTCTTTTACGGTTCATCTTGTTCTAGCTTAATCTCATAACTTCTTAAAGAACTTATCAGTTCTTCTAGAGAAGTTTTGTTCAGATCCTTTGCAAGCTTGAGTGCAGTTACCATATACCTCCATTTAGATGGCAAGCTTCTGATAATCTTCTTCACATGATCTTCCATTGAATAATCTTTGTTCAGAACTCTCAGTCCTGTAACCAAGGTTTAAAATATTAAGAACACGACTTTAATGCTTTCATCATCCTCCATTTTGAAAGCTTCATACTTCTGAATCAAGGCCAGCGCCTTGGTTTCTTTGACTTGATTAGTCCATTCATGAGTCATTTTGAGATAATCAAATATAGACTTAGCAGAGTCTCTATTTGTGATCTTCACATACTCGATATAAGAAATTGCATTCAGCAAGATGGTTCTTGCTTTATGATGATTCTTACAATCTTTCTTTTGTTTATCAGTCATAACTCTCCTAACTACCTCCTTTCTAGTATCATCTGTGGGAGGTACATAGCCATAAACTACCATATCCCAAAGATCAACATCATGACCTAGAAAGAAACTTTCTAGGTTATCTTTCCAGTATTCAAACTTTTCTCCATAAAAGATGAGAGGTTTAACGTTATAACTTTTATCATTTGAATCTGATGTAGCAACAACTGGTGTGGGTTCAACCATTGTGTTTCTTCAAAGAAAAACTCGTCTAAATCTTTATCTGATACGGTTAGGTGTTTGATAACTATCAATACCAAAACCAGAGCTCTGATGCCAATTGAAGGTGTGAGAAACATAAGAAAGAGGGGGTTGAATTGGGTTTCACCAAATTAAATCTTTTTGTTGGTGACAAAACGAGTTAGCTTAGAACATAACAGTAAATGAACACGATTATTTTTATCTGGGTTCACTGTTAACTAAGCTACTCTAGTCCACCCCCTCAAGGATGATTTCGCCTCAACAAGGACTTAACCCACTATAACCAAACTGATTACAGACAACCCACAATAATTTTGATCAACCTTATTGGCACCCCCAATAAGTCCATCGATCCTTATTGCAAATCCACTCAAAACGTAGCAAGAATCTTCTCGAGATCAGACTTTCACTCGGTCTCTCAAGTTATCATTCAACAATAGTTGAGTACTTTCAGTGTATTACAGATTTACTTCTTTTAAGAAGATTACACAAACTTTTAAGTAAAAAGAAAAACACCTAAGGGTTCTACTGCAAGATACGAGCAACAACTCCTTGCTTATTTACAAAACTATACACAGAAGATTTTCTCTAAAGAGTTTGCACAGCGCTTTGGTGTAGTTTTGCTTGAGCTTGATTTAATCTGATATATTTGTGTAATGTTAATTCTTACTTTTCTTCAGCTTCTAAGTCTTCCTTTTATAGCTTGTAAAAGAGATCAGTTGAAAGGGTAGAAAGGTAATAAAAAATCTAGTTGTTTATTCTCAATGGTCATAATGAGAGTTGTTACAATATAGTACAAAAAGAAATGTCCTTACACCACTCCAGAGGGTAGAAGTCACAAACTATTTTATGTACATTTTGTACACCATCACACGTTAACCTTTTTGAACTTCTTCTAGTCTTTAGAGGCTTCAGATATTTGAATGTTGAACATTCAAGCTTGTTGTAGAAGAATATTTCTTAAGTCTTAGAACCTAAGTCTTGGAGTCTTTAGAACTTGTCCTATTAGAACCTTGTCTTCAGAGTCTTCAGCACTTGGTCGTAAGAACTTGCTTGTCTTCAGATCATCAGAACTTGTTCAGCATAACCTTGTCTTTCATAATCTTCAGAACTTTGTAACACACTGAAGTAAAGCTTTAGAAGGACTCCAAAGCTTAACCATAAAGTCACGATCATAACCTCTTGTACTAACATTCCTTAGACACGTTGCAGAAGATGGATTCTATAATCTTGACTTCTATTGTAACATGTAACCATATGTTTTCTTCCAGTAGTGTATATTTAGAACCTGATGACGTCATACGTCTTGATACCAGAGTCAGAATATTACAGCAGCAGCTACACACTAGTACGAAACCATTAGTGTATACAATTGTTTACTAAGATAACATGTAGAGTTATCATCAAAATCTTAAGGCCATATGTAGAAACACTTCTTGTTCTTACACAACTTTGTCGGAAAATTCACCTTGAATCACCATCACCAACCCTAGGTCTAGACGTCTCTAAATAGATGCACGATGGAGTCAGCATCCTCATATGGCAAAACCACTGTCAGGCGCCAACAAACCGCCAAAAATTTCTGCACAAAGCTATTCTAATCCTAACCACATGCATTTCTAAAGGACAAAACCATGGAATCTAACACAAATCAGAGATAAAATTCCCAGAAATTGAGAAAAAACAAGAAACTTACTTAGTCGAGGAGGTTTAACGATGAAACGAGCAGGAATCACGGTGGTGTACAGCAGTGTTTCACAGGACTAGTAGAAGCGAGCAGAAGAGAGCCAACGAAAAGTACAAATGGAGTTCCCTCTCTCCATTTTATAGGAAGCTCTGCCACCACGTGGGCATACACGCGTATAGAGAAACCTGGGGTCGTCATTATTACGCCCTAGGCCATAAACTTGTCATCGTTTGCATTTATGACAACACGTGGCTCGAGACAAGCACCATACACTAACCCCTCAGATCCAATCAACTGTTCTTCTTCCTGCAAGACGAACACACCGAACATCGTTCGAGCTCCTCGTGTGGAATTGTCCAAGAAGTCCCTCTTTTGTGGGCACGTCTTAAGTCATTGCTCCTCTGTCCAGAAGCAACGACTTGGCGGGCTCCTGTTCTGGACTGGCTCAATAATTAGAATTGGCCCAATCCACTTCTACCTTCAATGTCCCATTAACTCTGGTCTTCGGTCGAGCATACTTTGTCGATCACACCACAAGAATATCAAGTATAACAATGTCTTGATCGTACATTTGCCCGCATCAACGTCCACCTTCAGGCCTGCTTGCTGTACATCGAGTAGACCACCAAGAAGGCGCTCACAATGCATCTATCTTTCATCTCTTCCTTACTCGGAGGAATAACTAGTTACGGGCATGACTATCCGTTTTGACCAAGTCCTGACAGTTACTTATTTTTTAGGAACCTAATATCTAGGCCCAAAAAATAGGAACCAATCGCTACGCGCCAGGGCACTATATAAACCCTCACACTTGTGAGGGTCAAATATCCAATATTCATTCTAAAAACCTTAATCTCTTTCTTGTATCTCTTTGCACTCTTTTTCACTAGATCGTCGGAATGCCTTGCAGGTACACCCCCTCCTCATATTTCTAGCCAAGCAGACATCATCATCTCGACCCACTTTAAATTCTGATCAACACTCGAGATCATATATATATATATATATATATATATATATATATATATATATATATATATATATATATATATATATATATATATATATATATATATATATATATATATATATATATATATATATATATATATATATATATATATATATATATATATATATATATATATATATATATATATATATATATATATATATAATATGTTTTTTATTATGATTAAATAATGAATAAAATTATATGAATTCTAAAAAATAAATTAAAAACAATGTACATATTATTTTTTTAAACTATGTAATGAATAAAATCATACCAATACTAAAGTATAAAATAAAACTATTATAATTTAAAATTAATTAATGAATAAAATCATACTAATAATAAAATATAAAATAAACATGTTAAATTCAAAATTTAAAAAATAAAATAAAATTACACCAATATTATAGTATATAATAAATATATTATAATTGAAAAGTAAATAATAAATAAAACATATTTAAGGAATGTTTATATATGTCAGATTTTAAGACAAAAAATCAAATATTAAAAGATAAATAATATGATCAAGCTGTTGGATTAAATTTTAATCAAAGGAGAGTTACTCTTGGAGTAGATATATCTCTCCTCATATATAATTTGAATGAAATTGGGTTAAACTTCTCAAAACTATTATTTTAATATAAATTTAACTTATTCATATTAATTTTGATTTGACCTACACCATTATATATTATAATTTTGAAAATTTTAAAAACTTTCCTTTAAATTATTTATCAATCAATTTAATGGATTAATATTTTTTTATAATATAAAATTTTACATAGAATACAAACAAAAATAAATGATTTTTTCCTCTAAAATTAAATACTACACTTTTGGTTTGTGTATATATAAGCACCATCATGTTATGCATACATGTACATCATCTCTTAACGACGCAGTGCATTAAAAAACGACATGATGTCAAAGAGCTCTGCCTTAATATTTTTTATGGTCCTTTTGATATGTATAGCTGGTTAGGGATCCTCTTACTTTCTATGCATCTCTCTCCATTATATATATTTTGTTCTTTTATTTATGAAATGTATAATTTGTTATTTATTTGATGATTAAGTTCGTTTAATTATTTAATGGATAACAGGGAAGCCATCATCAGTTGAAGCAAGGGGACCCTTTGAGTGCCCTCGAATGATTGATTGCTCAAAAGTTTGCCAAGGATATCCGAATTGCTGCATTAATGGTCAATGCATTTGTAAAGCTTGTCCTTCTAAGAATAATGAACTTATCATTGACACCAATTCTCTATTAAACTAAAATGATGTAATTTAATTTGTGATAATCTATTCAATAAAAATGACTTTGATATGCAATTACCATATTTCTTTTCCTTTTTATGATAGGGTAATTTTTGTTCTTTATCATATTTATTGAATTTTAATTAAAGAAGAAGGGTTAAAGAGAATTCAAATTCAAATTTTAAGTGAAACATTTTTTTATTCATGTTGAGGAGTTGCATAATCAGATGAAGCCAAGACTTGCTCAAGATGATGTTGGATTTATTCATGTTCATGGCTTGGTACACCACTTTGTTGTGTATCTGAAGAATGATGATGTGAAACAATTTTTTATCTTAATCATGTTTAGATTTTACACAAAATAGTACTTTTTATGTTTTTTTGTTGTTATGAGTTACGTTGGAAAAGTATTTGTATTAAATTATATATCCTTTTACAATATCAATGAATCATTAATATTATTTTTTATATTATATTCTTAAGTATTCAATATTTTATTATTGTAATTTATCTTTTTAATACGATTAATAAAAGAAAATTTTGTAAAATCACTCATATTTTTTTCTATAAATAATAAATTATATTTTTTAATATTTGTGTAAAGTTTAAAACAATTTATAATAAAAAATAAAAATAAAAATATTAAAAAAATCAGTTATTAATATTGAAATGGCACACCTTTCAATATTAAAGACAATAAAGATAACAATTGATATTCACATAGATAAACAATATTCATCTCTCACATACTTCATATGATAAAAATTAGGGGTGTTCAAATCCAAACCAATCCAAATAAAAAATTAAAAATCGATCTAAAAAATCGAAAATCGTAAAAAACCGAAATTTATTGAATGTGTTTGGATGTTATTTTGTGAAAACCGATTAGTTCGGATCGAATTTCGGATTAATTTTTCAAAACCGATCCAAACCAAACCAAACCAAACCGCATACATATATTTTTATACTTATTTACTTTTTATTAGTATGATATGCTATGTGAAATTATTATTAGATGATAATAATTTTTTTAATAATAGTTATTAGTTTGGTATAATTTATTTATTTTTATTATTTCAATCATAATCAACCACTCTCATTTTGTAATATTAACTTTTAATATACTATATGTTATATATTATATCAAATCTATGATTTATTAGTAGTTTTATAATATTAATAAAAATATAATGTGTAATTTGGATATCCAAAAACCGATCCAAATTAAATCGCATAAAATTGGATCGGATCGGATTGGATTTTTTTAATATATCATCCAAAACCGAACCGAACCGCAAGTAAATTTATCTTTGGATTGAATGATTTTTTATCTTAAAACCGATCCAAACCGAACCGCGAACACCCCTAATAAAAACAATATTAGTGTTTGTTCTATATTCGTTTGGATATATGTTATATGAGTATTTAGTATATTATGAGATATCATAAATCTTTCGTGAATATCTACAAATACCAATTAAAAAACATTTATGTACAAAAATTGTTAGTTTGGTTGAAGAATTTCGTACACTTATCTACAATATAAGAAAATAGATTATTTTCTTCCAAAAGTCGACACGTGACTTTATGAGAGCTCAGTAAATCTTTTCTTTCTAAAGCTTCGTATTCTTTTCATTCTCCATTCTAATTTCACCACAACATGGCAGTTACAAAATATCAAATTGGTCTTCCATAATTACATTTCTCATTCAACGCACGGTTTATTGAAAACAATTTCTCTTCCTCTTTCTTTTTCATCCTTTCTCTCTTTCTCTCTTATGGATCTGTTTTCTTCTTCATCTTCTTCTTCCTCTTCCTCTCTCTCCCGTCTTCTCTTCTTCATCTTCGTCTACTACAGAAACAACTTCAAATATCCACCACCTAATAACGATGCCGACGTCTCAGAAAATCGCCAATGGCCTCTGATTCAGAGATGTTATGTTGTTCTATTGTTCTATCGTTGATGTACGGTCAAAATTTTGATCATCAAATTCATGTTATCCCCTTTTTTATATTTAAACCCTAATTAATTTTTAATTCTAATTGTTTATCTTTGTGTTTATATTTGATTGTGTTTACAACATTGTTTGATGTTGTTAGTAAATTTGTATAGTTTATCGAAGCTAATTTTATTATTGTGATAATTCGATTTTCGATTTTCGATTTTAACGTCGTTTTATTTTTTTGCGTTTTTTTCAAGAGAAGGCTCCTTATGTTGCTACTGCAGACAAAAAGAAGGAGGAGTATGAGAAGGCTATACGTGCCTATAACATTTCATTGGTAAATTCTTGGTTTAATTATTGATCAAAATTTACTTTGGTTTGTATTATCTATTGTGATTGATTGAAATAAATTTTATGTATTAGGCTGAAGGAAAAGCTGCATCTGAGGAAGAGGGATCTGATAAGTTCAGGTCTAAAGTCAATGACAAAGGCGATGATGATGTAATATTACTACAATTCCATATGGAATGGCTCTCTGGTCAACTGGTACAGACAATTTTCCGTTTATTAAAGATTTCATGTCACAAATTGGTCAGGTGTGTTGTTTAGAAATTTCTCTTTATACTTTTCATAACTCCATTTTATTTACTATTATGTTAGCATTCTCTCTTCTAAACAACCTAGCAGGCGTGCTCTAGCTACTGATGAATGGTTGGGAGTTGAAGGATGCAACGATGCATATGAACTCAGTGATTGTGCTACGATAAATCAACGAAAAGTTATGGTAAATACTATTTCATCATTAGAATTTCGGTTACATGAGTTTCTTTGTCGTGTTTTTCATTGAAGGCATGCATGAAGAAACAAGTGGTGTTGAATTACAATGTTTACATAGAGGTAATGGTTTCACGTCTGATAGTTTACATCGATGTTCATTTATCCCAAATGTCCAAATGTAAAGTAGGATTGTAGCCTCTGTCAGCATTTGTGTATCATTTGTCTACATATATTCATTTGTATCTATTGTGAAATGAATTTATGCTCTATTGTGAAATGAAGTTATGCTCCTTAAATAGCCCATATTTATATTAGATGTTCATTTGCAAATTACCATTTACTTGGGCACTGTATTTGTATCGTGAAAATAACAACCCTAACCTTGAAATAAAGAAATGCTTTGGATTCAGGATACTTCCGTTTAGGGCCATCATCTTCAATATCAAGGTGAAATGACTAAAGTTCTCACCTATGTTAAGCAATGTAATGTTTTATAGTTTTTATAATATTTTGGTAATGCAGTTTAATATTTTCAATTGCTAACTCTAATTACAATAAGAATAGACTGGATATTCAAAGTAGTTGGTGATTCCCTTGTAAGTCAAGAGAAGACTGTCAAGGTTTTTTTTTCAAGTACGAAGGGTGTTTGCAGAGCATATCAGACATATCTATATAATGGATGAAGGATGATTTTGTTCTTGAATTATAGGCGGTGTATGAAGTTTCATACTTCATACCGAGATGTTGAAGATCTTAGAGATTTTAATTATGTATATGCTTGATAGTTTTGCGGGAGAGATAAAATGGATGTAGGGATGTATCATGACTATATGCATCGGTTAGCTCTTGGCATCCGACCTTTGCTATGTCAGGTGCGCTTGCTTGGAAGGCCAACAAAACAATATAATAAGATTTGTTGGTTTTGGGGAGAGATTGCACTGGGATTTTTTCATGGATCTCTCCCTCGTGTGGTGTTTGTCTCTCTTTTCTCATGCTTTTTATTATTACGTAACTCGCTCTACTATTCTCGATAGCACTACATAATTGGCGTAGAAATTATTTGACTCCATTTGAAGGTATTATACATCAATTTTAGCGATAAATAACAATTTATATTAGTTTGGATATCAATCTGAACATAAATGAATTTTCCAGGCGAATTTGAGAGGAACCAATCCAAAGTTTGGTTAAGTAGCATGTGTGATACGGTGGGAGAACTGACTTGAGGTTTTGCGTTTGTGTTTGCAAATGTTTCGGTTTAGCAAGAGTCGCCACCGACTTTTTATTTTATCCAAAGGAAAGGTCAAAAAGCACAGGAAAGACCTTTGAGATATTTTCTTGGGTTCGGGGGGTAGATTATGAAAAGGGGAGGTGCAAGCACCCTTTTCATCCATGGTTATCCATGGGCTCTTAGTTACTTGTTTAGATCACTTGCTTTTGCTTTTCAATTGTTTGAAATGGTGCTTTTGTGTGTAGTTTTGAAAATGTTTTAAAAAGAGGCCATCGTTGTGGCAACCTTTGTAATGATTCTTGTTTGAATGTATACAAAGGTGTATTGTCTTTTGAAAATATGTTTCAATGGTTGATTGTTTGAAAGTTTGTTTTGGGAAAATGTTTTGAAATTGTGTTGTGAGGTGTGTTTGAAAATAGCAAGGATGTTTTTGTAAGTTTTGATCAAGTAACTAAGAGTTGTCTAACCTATCTACTCAAATATCTTTCCTACACATTCTTAACCCTTTTGACAGTGTTGTTTTACCATTGCATTTGGTAAATAACCTTGTATTTGGATGTTAAACGGGACAGGCGCGGGTCATTGTATTGACCATGATAGCAATTGTGCTAAGTATCTTTAGCAAATTTTTGAGGGACTAGATCATTTTGTATTGGAAACCAAGATAGCGTCATCGAGGGACTATGATCTTTTGTTTTGTTTTTGTTTTGCCAAGATACTCAACATGCATAACATGGCCATTTTAAAGGCAACAAGTGGATGAAAACCCTAGGGGTGCTTGTGTGCATTGTGTTATCATTTTCATGCATTTATGTCTTGTATTAGGTCTAACTATTTGTTTTGATTTTGGATATTGCATACAAACCCTAATCTCTATCATGGCATATTTTGAAAGCATAAATGCGTAAAAGTAATCTAGGCTATTACAATATTGATATGGGGAGGGGGATACAATTTTGAATAGGGGATTATTTTGCAAGAAATTAAAACCCTAAGTTATTACAACCAAATTGAATCTCTTTGCTCAAATGATAAATAAACAATATTTAAATAAGCAATAAAATATGAATATGCAAAATATTATGAATATGCAAAAATGTTTTGTTTATTTTTATGTGTATAAAAATATAATTTTTAATGTGTTAAAAAAATAAGAAAAATAAAAAGTTATTTTTGTTAAGGGAAAAACCCTAAATTTTGTTTTAAGAAAGTATATTTATTAATATTATTTATTTATGTACAATAAAATAAATATAAACATATGCAAAGATATTAAGAAATAAAACATGTGAAAAAAATATTATTTTATATGTATAAATAATAAAAATAAAAATATATAATATTTCTATAATACTTATAAGTTTTTATTAAAGAAAATAAAGGTATATACTATTTAATAATTATTTTTATGTCTCAAAAAAATGTGAAAATTTATAAAAATGTTTTTGATATTTTTTATGTTTATAAAATATAAAGTAAAATCAGAAATGAAAAATAAATAGAAAAATACAAAAATATAATGAAATGGGCCAAGGGGTGCAAGAAGCAGATCAAGGGGTGCAAAAAGTCATGCCAAGTCAAGCCCAGCCCAACACTTCATCTTCAACCTTCGTTCAAACACAAAAAACGCGCGTTCTGATGTACAACGCGTATCTCCTGCATTTGTGCTTAAAAACGAAAACTTGCAACATGAAAGTTATAGAGCATGATCATACGATTCTAACCATATAAAAAACTTAATCTAACTCTCAAAGACCAGAGAGAATTTCTCTGGCCCTAATTTCTAACCTAACTTTTTCAGGAAGTTCATCAACTAAATTCTCTCAACACACTTAACTTAAATGAAAACTAAGCATATGTACAGCTTAAGAGCTATGAGTATTACATTTTTTATTCACAAACCTAAGCTTAATGATTCCTAAATAGAGAGATAGAAAGTTGAAAAATACCTGTTTCAGGTGAACTCGAGTATGGCAATGTAGTAACTTTCAGTGAGGCCTGAGGTTCTTTTGAGCTTGCCTGAACTTCCTCTGACCTTCCCCAATGCTTAGTTTGCTTTGGATTTGCTTGAACAAGCTTGTAGAAGTCAACCTGCACAAGCTGAAAACAGAAATGGTGAAGCTTGCAAATGGAGTTACAGTCAATGGGTAATGGTTGGGATAGCTCAGGTGGGTTATATGGAAGGTATTGGAATAGGTTTGGGGCAAAACGCACGAGTGGTTTTTGTTTTGGAACTCAAAGTGCAGAAGCTGCCCTGTTTTGCAAGAGGAATGTGTTTTGATGTTCAAGAGTGTTTGAGGGATGAATGGCTTGTGTTTCTGACTCAAGGAAATGTGCAAAAACTTGTTTGGAATGCTTACAAACTTTGGTTATATCAGATACTCAAGATATGTCCTTTTGGCAAGTTAACTTGTTTTGAAAGAAAAGTGTGAAGTGATACAAGATAGGCCTGTACAGGCTATCTCCAAGCATGCACAAGTTTGCTGTAATTTTGCCTAAATTTATGGAACTTGTTTGCTGAAAAGAAAGAGGTCCAAGGCTCAAGGGGAAGCAAGTTGACATAAAGTTACCTTTATGAAAATGGAAATGCTACCTTTTTGCCATTTTAAGATTAATTCAATGTGTAAACCTCTATGGATCAGAATAACACCTTAAAACAATGAGTTTGCATTAAAGTTTTGAGTGTGGAAGGGTTTAGAGACCTTTAATCAAGTACAAAGCAAGTTTGGACAAATTTTGCAACTTGTGTCAACATGAAAATGTCATGGATCAAAGTGAGTTTTTGCCAAATTCAAATCTTCGATTCTCCCTAACCATAAATGATTTTGGAGAGTTTTTGGACATTTTGGAAAGCTTGTAACATGATCTACAATCCATATGTGAAATTCATTTTGAGATTCCAAGTGTAACTATGTGAAAAATGGTCATGAAGATAGGTCAAAATCCTGCCTAAACTAGGGCAAAATTTCACTAAGTTAAAAGTTTCATGGACCCTTGTTCTAAAAATCATAACTTGAGATCCAAGCTTCTTTTGGGAAAACTTTGTGAATAAAAGTTGTAGACTTTGTGGAGGACTACAACTTTCATGTTGTAGGTTTTATTTGAATCCAATTGTATCATGGTGAAAATGTTGGGCAAAGTTGGGAAAAAATAAGAAAATTCCATAACTTAGAAAAATTCTAAGTTATGAAATTTTTCAATCTTAAAACCTAATTTGCAAAATTAGGTTTCTTGATGAACAAGTTTCATGTTTTGACACATCTTGATGAAAAATGACCCTTGGCACTTGATTTTGACCAAAAAGTAAAAGTTTAACTTTTCAGTGTACAGTCAAATTTTGATTAGTTGACTAAAAAAATCATCTGTCAATCCAATGCATTTGAGATCTTTTGAATCTTGTGAATAGGTCAAGATTATGCATTGAGTCCTTGAATCCATGATTGAATCCAATTTTCCATTGGCTAGGTGAAAAATCAGAAATTGCCCTTATACAGTCAAAACCCTAAAAATGACCATTTTGCCCTTTTGATGATCTGATCAAATTTCTTGAGGAGTTGTGGTCCAAATTTGATCAAGTTGTTCATATGAGTCTATAATGTTGATGTGGTTAAAAAATTATGAGGTTTGACTGTAAATTGGCCACAATTGACTTTTTCCCAAACACAGTTGATTTCTAGGTCAACTGTCCAA